ATTCACCATATGGAATATAAAACTATACGTAATATGTCTTAATTCTTCTATTTTTCTATTCTCCTCTTATCCTCAAACCTTCTTCCCTCCCCATTTAAAAATTATTTTCACTTCCTTCTCTTCCCCTCCTTTACTTTTCCCTTCCTTTCTCCCCTCCTGTCCCTTCCCTGGTCCCCCTTCCCATTTGAATGTGTTCTTTCCACTTGCCTATGTCTATCCTGTTTTACTCCTTATTTACCCTTTGGGGTTCTCACAATATGATATTTAAACTTGTGTGTCTGATTCATTTCTCTTAAGATTATGGTCTGGACATGCATCCATTTACCTAAAAATGACTCAGTCTTATCCTTCTTTATGACAGAATAGAAATCTATTGTGTGTAAATTACACATTTTCTTTACCCATTTATCTGTTGATGAACACATGGGCTATTTCTAAGAATCAGGTATCATAAATTATTTTGCTATAAACATGAGTATGCACATATCACTGTGCTGTGATGATTTTAACTCTTTTGAGCAGATACCTAGAAGGGTCACAGCTATATTAAATGGAACCTCTAGTTATAGTTTTTTGAAAAATGTCCATACTGATTTACACAATGGTTGTACCAATTTACACTCCCATCAACAGTGGAGAAGGGTTCCTTTTCCCCCACAACCCCACCAGCATTTGTTATTGGTTGATTTCTGGAGGTCAGCCATTCTTCCTGAAATGAGATGGAATCACAGCGTTGTTTTAATTTGCATTTCTCAAATCACCACTGGTTTTGAATATTTTTTAACATGTTTATTTGCTGTTTTACTTTTTCATCTGAGAAGTGTATATTCATTTCAGATGCCCATTTTTGGATTGGGTCTCTAAATTTAAGGATCTGGTTGTTCAAGAGAACTAAAAAATTATTATATATGAATTATCAGAGCTAAGTCAAGAAAACATAAAAATTATAAATAATCCAATTTCAGTCAGTGAAAATGAAGGAATAATAAAAATACTACCAACAAAGAAAGCAAAGAGAAAAGCCTAGGTCCTAGATGAATTCTACAAAAGCTTTAAAGAAGATCTACTGCCACTATTCCCCAAATTCTCACAAAATTAAGAGGGTACAAATACTCCCAAAGTCATTTCTTGAAGCAAGCATAATGCTGCTATCAAAACCAGAGAAGGATTCGATCAAAAAAGAGAATAGGGCGATCTCTGTAATGGACACAAATGCAGAAGTCCTCAGTAAAATATTGTCAAAAAATGCAACAAGTCAACAAAAAGATAATACATCATAACCAACTAGGATTTGTCCCAGCCATACGTAGGCAAATCAACAAATATAAAGTACCATATTAACTGAACCAAGGAAAAAAGCGCATAATCAGCTCAACAGATTCAGAAAATGCAGTTGGTGAAGTCCAACACCCAGGGTTCCTGTTGCGTGGACTATTATTTTCCATCCTTTGACTTTCAGTCTACAAATTTCTTTCTGCATCCCATGTCTTTCTTCATATAGCATACACTGGATTTTGTTTCTTGGTCTATTTTGCTAATCTGTCTTTTGCTTGGTAAATTGAGTCCATTTACATTGGCAGTTATAATTAATGGGTGCTGACTGGGGCTTGTCATTGTACTATGTCCCCCTGGCTATTCTGGTTTCTTTCCCTTCAGTGTGATTGCTAGTTCTGTCTGATACTTTCCTTTGGTTGACCTTTTAGTTTTGTCGGCTTGATTTTTCTCTTTCTAGGATATCTTTGCATACTTTCTGGAGTGCTTGTTTTGTGGTCATGGTTTCTTTAGGCCCTCTTTATCAAGGGAGTATCTTACTCCTCCATCAAGTTTGCAGAATAAAATAATAAAATAAAATAAAAATTTAAAAAAAAACCTGGTTTGGAAGCTGTTTTTGTTTAGAGCTTAAAACATTTTATTATGTGTTCTTTGATTCTGGAAACTTTTACTAATGCGTCAAACCAAAAGACCTCTTATTCTCTTTTTCTAATCACTTAAATCTAAGAGTATTTCTAAGAGTTTTCATTACAGTAAGGAAAGCACTGGTGGTGCCTGGATGCTGCTGTTTTTCTATCCTGAAAGGGAAATGAAAGAAAGCCTCCTTAAGATTTCCACCAGTGACCCTGGAGGCAGGTGAGAGTCCGGGAATAATCACTCAGGATTCTAATTCCACGTTTATCCCCTTAAAAGAAACCTTGTTCATGGTAAGACAGACAGGTGGTGGTCATTTCTTCCTCTACTGCATTATCTAAGGGGTCCCTAGACCCCGCCCCCCCCAATGAAGTTTCACAATTATATATTTAACTGTAAGCTGGTCACTTCCCTTGAAATGTTCAACAAACCCTTCACATCCCAAATGAACTCCTCACTCCTCCTTGAAGAAACCTCATCTTCGGACATCTTCAGTTTCAGTTATGCAAGCTGGGATGCCTGTGGCTACCTCTTACAACCTCTGTGGAGCATTTCACTTTTCCCCTCGTATTCTAGAAAAGTCCTACTTCAAATATTTGCCTCGACTCTCCATCATTTGTAAGTAGTCCAAAGGGCTCTGCTAAAGTGCTCTGCTCCGGAGAACCATAAATTTGCAAATTTTACCATCGTGTAGAACTCTAAAATTTTCTCCAGTTTTGCTCTTTCAGGGTGGTGTTGTAGTTTGTTCTGCTTTTTGATTGGCTCTGTTTCTTTGATGATGTTAAGATGTTGCCTAGGCTGGTCACGAACTGGATTCAAACAATCCACTTTCCTTAGCTTCCTACCTGTAGCTAGGGCTGCAGGTATCTGCCATCACATTTGGTGAATATTCTGGTATTTGAGTATGTTTTCTCTATTTTATGATATAATATATAAATAAGTCAACTTGTGCAATTTTTCTCTTTTTGGCGGGGCATAGGATCTCACTATGCAGTTCAGGCTGCCTAAACTATGCCCAGGCTGGCCTTGAATTCACAGTGATCCTCCTGGCTCAGCTTCCCGAGTACTGGGATTACAAGGGTGCACTACCACACCCAGTACAACTCATGAATTTTAGTATTTACTTGAAAAGGTCACTGTTTCACTGAGGGGAGGGTCTGAGCAGCGTGTGGGGTGCATTTTTGATAGGCCTTGCATGCTTCCAATGGTCTTGTTACACAGCTGAGACACTGCACAAGGAAATTCCAACCAATGACCTTTTTTCCTCACAGTTCCACACATACTTTTTTAAATGGGTGTGGAGGTGCTTCTTGGTTAGCACAGTGTGCATGTGTGCGTGTGTGCATGTGAGTGTGTGCATGTTTACCATCTCCACCTAATGAAAGAGCTGAACTCAACACAGCTTCTTTTGCCCTTTATTTTTGAAACTGGAAAAAAATCTTAAATTGATTTAAAATATATTAGCATTATTGTTTATAAAGAAATGGAATTCACAAAGTTCTTTGGTTACCCCTCCAAGATTCCTTATAAAAGGCAACTAAATCATCAACAGGACATCTCCAATAAGGAAATTATGCCAAAGAGGCCAAATAACTTTTCCTGAATCACAGAATTCAGAGGTTGAGCATTGAGTCAAAGATCAGAAAATGTAGCACTAAATCTTTCCCTATCCTCCTTGTAAGAATGTTATGTTTTGGAAGAAACATTTGACTTCGTCTGAGTCACCAACTGAAGTGCCTAGAACCTGGAAGAAGATAAGAACTGACAAAATTTAAATAAATCACAGCCTAAAAAAATAACCACAACCTTGTCAGACGGTCAAATGGTTGGCCGCCCTCTCTTTCCTTTCAAGGGTTTTCCTGCTGAAGTTCACATTCGGGTTAAAGCAGGGATTTCAAAGAGGTTTTACTTGTATGATTTTGTTCCCACACGAAAGAACAACTGCCAATAGAACCATTCTGAAGTGTGCCAGCCAAGCAAGTTCCAGTAAAGGACAGGGGCTGCCCAAGCGTGCAGGGTGGCACCACACAGTTTTAGAGAGCTGGAGCTCCTGAGAAGCAGTGAATTCAAGCCCTGCCTCCTCCAGACAGCCCCTCCCTTGGAGCAAGGAGGAATCTCTGCAACCTCGAGGCCTGATGAGATTCTTGGCGCACAGCACAGGTAAGGTGGAGTAGATAAAGCTGACAGAATGTACTGCTGACACAGCCAGCACTGAGCATGCACTTCTCGGGTGAAAAATCCTTATTCTCCAAAATCCTAACATCTAGATTTATGGGGAAGATGAGTCCATATTAAAATGCTCTTGGGTGTTTGGATGTATATCCTAGGCAGTCCATGAGCTCTCTCATAAATCAGTAACCACAGGGGTATCCAAGAACAAAAATTCTTTTTGGCCATGCATCTATAAGGATTAAAGGTTGTTCTGAGCATCTAAATCATATACAATGGAGCTCATTCTTTTATCTGTGGTCAGCTGCAGATAACTATCTGCAGGTTAGCAAGGTATCCTTGATTATCTTTGCTCTTTGGTTTTTTTCTTATTGTTGTTTTGTTGTTACATATGAATCATCAGTCTGGGGTATCTGGTCCCATTCTCACCTTCCTGCAGGTGCATCTGAGAGTATTTTCTTGGCAGAGACAGAAGACATCACGATATTGAGATGACTCAAAACCAGAACACTATTAATTCTGTTAGACTATATTCTGTTAGACAGTCATAAATTCCAACCAGACTTAGGAGGCACAGAAAAATTGTTTCTTTGTTGGAAAAGCTGCAAATGGACATTGCAAAGAATATGGAGACAGAGGAGAGGAATTGGGGACCAATCTTGTGATTAACAGAGCAACATTGGGAACCTGACATGTAATCACAGCTACACGTTCCTTCTGAGGTGCAGCACAGCAGCACAGCTGTATCTGGGTGCTGTTTCCTAGTGGCAGTGCACTCAAAATTGTGCACTACCTCCTCCCTCCATGGTACCCACCATGTCCTCCTACCCTTGGCCTTTCTTTCTGGCAATGTTCAACTGTGCTTCCCACATACAAGGTGTATTAGTCAACTTCCTGTTGCTATAACAAAAAAAATCCCAAGAAAATCAGCGCATAAAGTTTATTTTATCTCATGTTTTCAGAGGCACCAGTCCATGGGTGACTGCTCTCACTGCTTTTAGCCTTGTGGTGAGCAAACACAGTAGGGGACACTGCGCTCCTAATGACCAGGAAGCGAGACAGGGAGAAAAGATGTTGTAGTCAGGGCTTGTGAGGACATGGAATTTATAATATTTTATGACAGTCACCCAGAGTTAACACAAGAAAGTGCAGGAAATCTGTCCACAACACCAAAGATATAGAATATTCAGCCAAGGGCCTGAATCTCACAGCAAAGTTCCACACGAGTACAGATGAAGACCCAGAGCTCATGACAATGCCTCCCACAAGTCCAACTGAAGATCTAGAGCCCACAAGAAGGACTCATGCCAGTCTCTTTTGCGAATCCATGCCCAAAGGTCAGTGGTGGAAGCCAGAAAGTCTATGCTAGCAGGGTGAAGGAGCTGGAGCTGGGCTGGTAGGTTGAGGGTTCTATGCTAGAGTCGAGAAGTCACACTCATAATAAAGACCAGGGCTGTCCTGAAAGCAGCACAGCCATCCTCAGCAGCATAGAAGTCCTGAGCTGCTCTGACGAAAAGCACAGCCGAGTGCATGCCAGGAAGCCAGCGTGACAAGTTTGTCCTGGAAATTGAGTGTCACATGTCTTCCCCTCGGGAGCCAGGAAGCAGTGCGCGATGTGAGGACCAGAGCTCCTCCAGGAAAACCAACGACTCAAACAGCAACACTTAGTGAAACCCACGATACCTAACGCCTCAACGCCTTGTTCTCCACATCTCTATTTATGCTGGCAACTTTCCTCAGGTGGAACATCTATGCTCAGCACAATGGTGATTTAATTCCGCTGACGTTAAGTTGACTACCAGTTTTTAAATCTATAACAGAAAGAGGCCCAGAGTCCCCCTCAAGGGCATGCCTCCAATACACAAACAATTCCATTAGGCCACTGTCGTGTAGGGCCCACCACTCACGCACATCACCCAAGGGACCAAGCGTTTACTATGTAGATCTTTGGAAGACACTTATCCAAGCCACAGTACAAGGTCAAAATTAAACACATGTCACAGTAGAAGGGCACAGGTACTGTCCTGAGTGGATGCCCGGCACAGACAGTGATCAGCCAGCTCTCTTTCACAAGTGGCATCAGCCTTCACATCCCATGGGAAACTCATGCAAATGCTTGTCCTCACCACCAGCTTCCCATCCTCCTGAAACAGTTGAGGTCAGGTGTCTTCTGACTCTCCCAGGTACATCACAGGGATTCTGCAGACAAGGCAAAATTCAGTACAAAATCACTCATGTGCATGCATGCATTTTTCAGAAGAAAATGTCTATAATGTCTGTCAAACCCTTAAGAAACAGTGTATGACTTGGACATGTTAAAGGATATTACTTACTAGCGTTATACTAGTATACTAAAATGCAGGCGAAAGAACAGATTTGATCCTCAACACAGCACTTTTAAACTCATGGGCAGGTTCTATAATTGGTGTAAGGTGGGAGCATGTTAAGAACCAAAGTGAACAGTCTCTGTGCACGTACATTTGCAGCACTCAGCTGACATCTGTGAAGAGCTGCCCTTGCAGAAGCGTCGCTGGTGACATGAGACCCATTATGCCTAAGAATACTTCTGGAAGGCTCATGATTCGTAGTAACTGAAACATACACAAGTCTGATGGTGCAGAAAGGCAGCCTCATTTCCTGCCCCAGAGCTTTGTTGGTCATTGCTCATGAATTCACTTATTTCTGGGGAGATCTGCACTAGCAGAGGATAATCTAGACAGGAGGGCACTAAGGATGGTGCTCGAAGAGAACAGATACAAAAAGGATTCGATCTCACGAGTCAGGCAGAAGCATCGTCTCTGGTCTGTACGGGGCAGGTCGTTAGGTGAGCGCCCCGCTCACGTGTACCTGCGGTTCTCCTGTGCCCTGCTGTAGTTAGTGTTTGGCCAGTTTAGAACATTCTAAAAGGGACATGGCTGACTTCTTCCTTAGGAGCATGCACACAGCTCCCTGGCCCTACTTTGGGACACAGAAAGAAAATGTTGTCAGAGGTGAAGAATTTTTGGTAATGGAATCACTAGGAGAAAGAGTTGGGTTAGAGTTAGAACTTTCAGTTACAATTTGAGCAAGGTTTACAAAATGACACTTGTCACCTGTCAGTGTCTAATTTCATCTCTGATTTATCTCAGAAGACTCAGGACCACGTGACTTTAGCTTACTCTTTGACATTTCGAAGGAGCATAACCCTGAAGGCCATCGCAGATCTGTCATTCCTGGACTTAAACCCATGCATACAGACTTGAAGGCTGTTCATCTTCCTCCTTCTCCAGGCGAACAAGGTCTGGAAGTCACTGCCATCTCTGTTTCAAATATGACAAGCAAACACTTTCCTCATCGTACCTGGCCACGGTCTCTTCTACTGATTTATGATTTTCTTCTCTGTGGGGATAGAGCCTCATCCTTCTATTAAGTTCAGTAATGGTAGAGTTCCAGGTCATACAAAACAGCCTTCTGATTTTTCAAGGAGTAAGATTCATTGTCTTGAGATCACTAAGAAACAAAACCAAACAACAAATACAAAGCAAACCGAAGCAGCAAACAAGAATTGGCCGGAATGAGCTGAGCCCTTACTGACATTGTAGTGAAGCTGCGGCACTTTCCTATAAGCTCCTTCAAATTAATCTGTTATTTATCTGTTATGAGGCAAAGCACTGAGAGACAGTGGTTTTAGAATGCTCGGATCCACGGTGAAGGGAGAAAATTGGAAAGTACTTGCTGAGCAGCAGAAACTTAGTCATGTGCTGTGTGTGCTGTCTCATATTTAGAGGAGAGAATGTTCACAGAAAGATCCCTGGGGTTTAGAAAGAACTGAGTCCATCACCTAAACTCTCTATTAGTAGGTTTGGGGAGAAAAACTATTTAAACACAAAAATCCTTAGAAGTAAAAAATATCTCTGATCTCGCACGACAGCTTCTGATTTCTCAGACAAAAGTTGAGGAAACTATATCAGGACTGTAGGAAAGATGTTTTCACTGATATGATTAAAACCGGGCCAATAAAACATTTTTTAAATCCTGAATGTGCGATAAGGAGAAAAACCAAAACAAAACCCCTTAACCTTTCCCTGGAGTCTACCTGGCTGCATCCCAGAGGTCATTCTGTGGTTCATGCTTCATTATATTTCCTTGTAAAGCAGAAAATGCCTGTAGGCCAATATTTGCATCTCATTTCAGACCTATGGACAACAGCCCATCTCTTCATCCCTCTGTCCTTGAACGTGTTCTCCAAGCCTCAGTGTCTTTTTCAGAGTCCGCCCCTTAATTTGCAGCTGGGATTATTTTAGGACCTGAGTCAGCGTCCTGCAGGGCTGCCCCTGACACTTCACTACACCATTCAATGCTGGGCACCAGACCAGAGAGACAAACTCTTAAAAATAATGAGAAATTGTCGATGTCCGCTCCCGGCCGGCAGGAAGGACACACGACAAAGTCTGGCAGTGGACAACCTTTTCTTTTATTTTTCTTCTCCGTACAGCCTGCCCTGGGATCGCTCCCAGCCGAAGCCTCCTCTGGTCCGCTCCCCGCGGCTCCTTTTGGGCTTCTACTTCCGGGCTTCTTTTTCCCCCCCCAGGGGTGGCACCAGTATATATACGGATACAGTGTCCAATCATGTTAAAGTAAGCAAGGCAAGCTGATTGGCTAACATCATCAGTTGCCAGGCAGACTATATTGTTGAGCGGGTTGCTTACGCGGTAAGCAGGAAACTAACGTGCTCGATGGGAGGGGTAATCTACCTCAGGCTTTGCTCTTTCCTACAGGCCTCACGTCCGCCAAGTAAGGCGACCGGGCTCGGGGCTGCGGCTCCCAACATCTCCCCCTTTTTTATTTTTTATGAATGTGCGCATCGTAGCCCTTCCTGGACTGGGTGCAGAGGCTTATGCCCTATGTGTAGGCCCACCGTAGGTCCTTGGCTTAGACCCTGGTCGGCCGTCCCATGGTCTGCCAAGGCCCTGAGGCCCTCATCCTTTTTCTAGGGCCAGGCACAAACTGGACGGAACCTGGATGCACACAAGCTTGCACTCATTTTCTCTCCGTAAAGAAATCCCCTCGGAGAGAAATTTAGACCTGGGCAGCATCTAACAGTCCAGCGGCTTACGTGCAGGATGGGGTAGGGCCTGGCTTAGGTTGAGTCGCACCGGGGGAGTACGCTCTTACCCGTCATTGACTCTCCTACCCAGCTATGTCATAATTTTTTAGAGGAGGAGTGTGGGAAGCTCACCGTCCCTAGACTCGGTCGTAGGCTAGGCGAGCGAGCCATGCATATGCCTGAGGATCTTCTTGTCCATTTCGGGCTACCGCTATTTTTATTCATCTTGTTGGTTGGTCTGTGATGGATCTCCGGTAGGGCAGGTCTGATCTTCAGTCGAGGGCTTTGTCGCCCGTGTCAGTCTCTCCGGTACCCACAGTGGTTCTCGTCCCGATTCCTGTGGGAAAACACAAACCGCGCCTCGGTTCCAGCTGACCACTGGATCCGGGCCCATCCATTGTCCTGTCAGGACATCTTTCCACTTCACCCACCCTTTATGGTTGGGGGAAGGGTTGCAGTGCTCCACAGCTGGAGAGCGATTATCATTATTTAAATTTAAAAAATTGTGTGTGAATAGTGCCATGGATAATCATGCCTTTGGGGCCAGGCGTTGGCCTACTCCCCCTTTTTGTTTTTGTAAAATTTCTTTGAGGCTTCTATGAGCCCTCTCAATGATTCCTTGACCTTGGGGATTGTATGGGATACCATGTTTTAATTGAACCTCCATCATTTTGCAGAACTCATTGAAGGCTTTGCCTATATAGGCTGGTCCATTATCAGTTTTTAATATTTTTGGTTTGCCCCATGCAGCCCAAGCCGCCAGGCAATGATTGATCACATTAGACACTTTTTCACCTGTTTCTGCTGTTGCAAATATGACGTGAGAACAGGTGTCTGTGGAAACATGAACATATTTAAGAGTTCCAAACTCCTGTATATGTGTGATGTCCATCTGCCAAACATCACCAGGGATCAAACCTCGAGGGTTTACTCCCATCGGTATGGCAGGTTTGTATGTGGCACAGGAGTCACATAGTCGCACGATATCTCGTGCATCTGCTCTGGAAACATGGAAATGGTTTGCTAGTGTCCTGGCATTGACATGAAACTTATCATGGAAGGCACGGGCTCGCTCGATTGGTGTTAGTAAGGTAAAAATCCATAACGGGCGAGTGGCAGTATCAGCAGCCGCATTCCCCTGTGCCATGGGCCCTGGCAGGGATGTATGTGCTCTTATGTGGGTGGTGAAGACCTTATGGTGTCTGTTCTGAAGCAATGTCTGGATAGACAGGAACAGCCCAGCCACTGTGGAAGTGGATCTAATTAAACCGGCAGTCTCAAGCACTTGCATAGCATTGACCACATACCTAGAATCGGAGACAATGTTAATGGCTTCTGAGAACCGTTCAAGAATCATTTTAACGATCTGCAGTTCCACCACCTGAGGCTGATCAGGTTCAAATTGTATGGTAACTGGGGGCTTGCCTAGGATCACATAGGCGCCTATCCCCGTCTTGGAGCCATCTGTGTATATTGTAGTTGCTGGGACTAATGGCTCAGAGGCAGTAACCTTTGGAAAAATTACAGGGTGCTGAGTAACAAATGACAAGATAGGGTCTTTAGGGTATTGATTGTTTATATCCCCATGGAAAACACATCTCAGAATGGCCCATGTATCTATGCAGGCAGCCAGGGTCTTGATCTGGCTGGCGGTATAGGGTACTCGGATGGCTTGTGGTCCTGAGCCAAAATGTTGGACAGCTCTATCATGCGCTTCAAGGGCCAATGAAGCGACTGCCTCCGGGTAATGCTCTATGACTTTTGCAGGTGAGACCTTAGGGTGTATCCACAGTAATGGTCCTTTCTGCCAAATCACCGCTGTGGGCTGTAGACTAGTCTGTAGCAAACAGACATCAAAGGGTCGCCCTGGTTCAATTCTGTGTAAGGTAGCCCCACCTAAGGCTTTTTCCACTCTCTGTAAGGCAGCTCTTGCCTCAGGAGTGAGCCTCCTGTGGGAGGCTATATCTGGGTCTCCCTTCAGAAGGTCGAACAGGGGTTTGAGATCTGAATTTGGTATATGTAAATATGGCCTAATCCAATTAATGTCTCCCAATAGTTTTTGTATGTCATTTAGGGTCCTAACGCCATCCGTCCTAATGGTGACCTTTTGTATAAGTCTGGAGGCGACACTGAGGTCCACACCTGCTGACCCAGGGGTGGCCCTTGTTGAAGGCTGCCATCCTGAGCTGTCCTGTCTCTGGGGCGGGGGCCCGCCTGTGAAGGGGGCCCCCTCTGGCTGTTTTTTGGCTCTCTAGCATCTCGTCCACAAATACGGTTGCCCTGAGCATCAAAGACCGACCTACACTCCTCAGCTTTGTGTGATCCCCTCTTGCATCGCCCACAAACATATGGTTCTTCATTCCTAGGGCGAGGCCTAGCATCTGCATTGTTTGGGCAATGACGTTTAATGTGTCCTGGCTCCCCACAGGCAAAACACCCTTTAGCCTTACATTCCCCTCCTGACCCGCGAGGTCCCCTCTGCTGTACAGCCGCGGCCAGGAGAGCAGCCACTCCCGAGTTGGAGAGCGGCCCCCCTATCTCTCTGCATATCCTAATCCAGGCGTTGAGGTCCTTGTTCTTATGAGGAGCTATCGCTGCCTTGCACTCCTTTGTACATTGCTCAAAAATCAGCTGCCTTACCAGCGGTCGAGCCACTCCCGGATCAGAAAATATCTTATCGGCAGCATCTTGCATTCGGGCCACAAAGTCAACAAATGGCTCTGTGGTACCCTGAATTATTTTTGAAAGACACAAGGAGGCTGTTCCGGCACCACTTACTTGCTTCCAGGCGCGGAGCCCTATGGCATTGATTTGTTCATAGACAGCGCCGGGGAACTGAGTCTGATCATCAGCGTGCCGACCTTCTCCCATAAGCATTTCTTTGTTCCACCCCCGGTTTCCCCGATTGGCGTTTCTCTCAGCCTGCTCTGCAGAGAACTCTGCGTACCAGGCTCGCCAATCCAGGTAACTGCCCGAGGGCAGACACGCCTTTGCCAGCTGAATCCAGTCCGCAGGGGTGAGGGGCCCAGAAGACAGATTCTCCAGCATGGCAATGGTGTAAGGCGCAGTCGGCCCAAAGGTTGTAACTGCATTTTTAAGTTCTCTAATCTGCTTTATCTCAAAAGGCTCCCATGCATTACGTCCCTGGCCCATAGCTACTTGTAAAGGAAATATCCCGTAGGGGCCACTATCTATCCCAGGTGGTGGATGTACCTCATGAGACAAACGTCCCCCCTGCCAAAGCCGCCTGTAAAAATACCGACCCGCCGGCGGCGGAGCATAAGACGGCGGCCATGATTGGGCGGAAAATGGGGGCCCGTGTATCACTTCCTGTTCTGGCGAAGAGGAAGGGAGCTCCTGGGCGGCCGCCTCGCGGCGAGGGATCGCCTCCGGGAACACCCCCCAAGGTGGGGCGGAAGGCTTCGCCTCCCTCTCGCGCCGGGGAGCGCTCAGGAGCTCCCTACTCCTCCGCAGACCAAGTTGAGCGGAGCGCAATTCGCGGCGCAACGCTGGGAAAGAACCCTGCGACTCCTTATCGAGCGACTTAGGCTCCTGACAGCTGGTCTCTTTGGCCTCCTTGCCATTCAACTTTCCTCGTCCTCGGAGTCAGACGACTCCGAGGCTAGAGCCCCGTCCTTCTCCTTAGCATCTTTATTCCCCTTAACAGGCCCCTCTCGGGAGCTCCCTGACTGGGCCTGCTCAAATACCCTGCGTACTTTTGTAAGCTCTTGAGAGCTTTCTCCACAACCACCCTCGCTCTTAGTGTTGCTACCTAGCATGTTTCCCATCTTTTAATATGTTACTCACCGCGTGAGGCCCAAGGAATCCGCCACTTACGCGTGAGCCTGAGGGGAGTCTAAAAGCCCTGTAGGTGCGCGCCACCCAGAGCCCAGGCTTATCCCCAACTCACCTGTCTCGAAGCTCTGTACTGGAGCGTTGTCCGCTGTCACGTCTCGGGGGTGATCAGTCCCCGTGCAGGCCTCCAAATGTCGATGTCCGCTCCCGGCCGGCAGGAAGGACACACGACAAAGTCTGGCAGTGGACAACCTTTTCTTTTATTTTCCTTCTCCGTACAGCCTGCCCTGGGATCGCTCCCAGCCGAAGCCTCCTCTGGTCCGCTCCCCGCGGCTCCTTTTGGGCTTCTACTTCCGGGCTTCTTTTTCCCCCCCCAGGGGTGGCACCAGTATATATACGGATACAGTGTCCAATCATGTTAAAGTAAGCAAGGCAAGCTGATTGGCTAACATCATCAGTTGCCAGGCAGACTATATTGTTGAGCGGGTTGCTTACGCGGTAAGCAGGAAACTAACGTGCTCGATGGGAGGGGTAATCTACCTCAGGCTTTGCTCTTTCCTACAGGCCTCACGTCCGCCAAGTAAGGCGACCGGGCTCGGGGCTGCGGCTCCCAACAAGAAATCATAATGCTTCCAAAAATCCCCTAAAAGTAGAATAACAAAGACCTCAAAATGCTAAAATTCCTACCACATTTATAGGCATCAATGGATTCAATTAGGAGACTGCACAAGAACTTCAAGTGTTTATCCAAACATTCTCAATAATTAAATCATATTTTTCATGTTGCCCGACACCGCTGGCACCCACAGTGCACTCATCTCCACAGAGGGCTGAGGAAATCAGGGTAATGATCTCCCGCTGTGGAGCCACAGGAGAGGCGTGAGGTTTGCTATATTAGATTACAGGAAGTAAACTGCGGCTGGCTCTGCCATCCTGAGCACACAGTTTGAGATGACAGACCGGAACCAAAGGGATGAGATTAGAGACAAAGGCATGGGTGAGTAGCTGCCCCTAAATTCGGGCCCCAGAACTCACAGCGGTGGATAGTGGTCTGCGAGGGGAGCTCAAGACAAAGCCAAGAGATGTTTTATTCTAAGTTGTTGTAGGAATTATATTTAAGAAAGATGCTACTGTGGGCTTAAAATAAACTGCCATGATGAAGAAATCTTCAGAAAAGCAAATGTTATTTCAGGTCTTATTAACAAATGTGTTGTTTTAAAATAAATGACAGTTCCACCAGTCGCTGAAGCACTCTGTTAAATAGACTGCTCTCTGGATGAAGATAGTGCCAATCTGGGAAATTCCAACAGAGGAAATGAAAGAAGATACGGATGCTCAATCCCTACGAGTGGGATTAACATGAAAATAAAGAATACTGCCCTCAAATGTTTGAAGGCAAGTCATTCAAAAGAGGGCTTAATGTTGTTTTCTGTGATTTCACCATCCCTGTGCGTCAGAGTGCCAGCGTGCTATGCTTTGAATCTGAATGCCCCAAAGACTTATGTATTAACAGCACCAGCTTGGCTTGGTGCCCTTAGGTGGTGGAATCTCTGAGACCTGAGGTGAGGTTGAGGGGGAGGTGTTATGGTTACCGGAGAAGACACTCAGAGGGCATCATCGGTCCCCAGACTCTTCTGGACTCCAGACCCTCTTTTTCTCTCTCCCTTGCTCTCCAGATATGAGGTGAGGAGCTTTGCTCCTCCATGTGTCCCCCACCACGATTTGCCACCATAGGTCCAAAGCATCCGGGCTGATCATGGACTGACACCTCTAAACTGTGAGTCAGAATCAAACTTTCATCAACTGACTTCTCTGAGCTGGGCCGGATAAAACATTACAGAACTGGCTGCACGTAGGTCTATGGAACAAGGGACAACTGAAGATCTGAGAGAAGGCGCTGTGAGACGTATAAAAAGTTCTCTGTGTAATTCAGTGAGGTCATTTTCTAAGCAGTCAGTTAGATGGTCCAATAGTCCACACGCACATTTTATAACTAAAACTGGAATACAAATCTGTTAGAGACTATGCCTACAAAACAGTTTCTGCTTTCACTAGGCTACAAGGTGTGACTTATTTTTTCCACCAGTGAAAAGAAAGGCTCTCAGCGTCCCTAGCTGCAAAAGTCCACTGCCCTGCTCCCACAAACACTAGATTACCAGCTGCCAAGGCCGTGGCCTCAGATCTTGTCCTCTTTCCCTCAACTTGAGCGCTGAAGCCACTTCCGAGGCACTGGCTCCTAAAACGAAGTCCATGACAAAAGAGAGGAACTGCTGTCACATAAATTTCTATCTAAAATACTAAATTCTCCTGTGAAAAAGATGAAGAAAGCAACCATTAGTTAAAGAAAATCAGGAACTAACATACTAGTTTTCCAAGGAAACTGACACTTCCATATATTTATGGGGTGCACAAATGGTAGGCTGAAAATAAAAGCTTATAATTTTAGAACCAGCTCCCCACAGAGGAGACTAAACACAGACACTTGCAAATGATAGAAAGTATACACAGAAGCCATGCCTCTGTTTAATTACATGCATATTCAAAACAGTGACAGAGCTAGGAAAAGAGGAGGGAGAAGGAGCCTTTCCACAAGGGCTGCAGAGGAAGGGAGCGAGTCTGTTGGGGACACTTACAAATCAAACTTAGTGTTTGAGGGATTCTCAAACCATCCAGGCACTCTTCTGTTTTTCCAGATATGGAGCTAAAGAGATGCTGTGAAAGACAGAGAAAGAGGGAAAAAAGAAGAAAGAGAGGGGGCTGGGGATTTAGCTCAGCGGCATAAGCGCCTGCCTTGCAAGCAGGCAGTCATGAGTTCGATCCCCAGTACCGATAAAAAGGAAAAAAAAAAATAAGAAGAAGAAGAAGAAAGAGAGAGAGTGAAAGAGGGAGAGAGAGAGAGGTCACTTAGGGGAGAACCATAATGAAAGCTCTCATCTCTGGAGGATTTTTCTCAGTGGTTCTTTCCATTCAACACTCATTGTGCTCTCTAAGCACGCACTGAGGGCCCAGTATGGTGCTGGCAAACCTTTCAGAGACCAAATGCCCAAGCTGCAACCCCAAACCCACTTATTGATCCTGACGCCCCAGTGCTTCCCTACGTGCGCTGTTATCCTGCCCTGCTGCTGGGGTGACCTGGCTCTGGCTCTGTGTGTCTGCTGCAGTCCGTTGTCACTGGCTACCAGCTGCGTGGCCAGGTGCTGATTCTGAAGGGCATCCACCGATGTCTCTTCATGCAAACAGTGTGTGTTATAGGAATAAACATCAAATCTAAAGCAGTAAGTGCCACAGAGAAAATACGATAGAAACCCCATGACATTAAATATCTTTGAGAACCAGCAAATTCTCAGAAGTTTCACACCCTGTGGCCCGTAATGTGATCATTTCACTATGTTGATGCAATTAAAAAACTCAGTATTCTATGGTTCTGTGAGGGCCATGTTTGACCACAACTCATTGGGACATATTTCCTTAATGGCCCAAAGTTGTTTCTTTTCTTTTATCTATCTGGCAATTTTTAAAATACATTAATGTCGTAATCATGAGTCAATTTGCAAAACAATGCTTAGGTTTATTGATACTTCCACCTATTTCCAACAGAAAATGATTCTAATGAAACAGTTATGAGAGTATTAAAATGAGATGTGACTACTTAAAAATGAGACCATAACATGATATGCCCGAAAGCATTTAGGAGACCACAAAACTTTAAACTAAGTCAATAACTGATCATTAAGAAGGGTGAGGAGAAACTATTATGAAATTGCCTTTGAAATGAATTCTTTCAGCATACATTTTTGTACAGTAATTCCACTACAAAATTTTTACATCGTTCAAGAAAAGTCTCTTCGGGAAAATAACATGGGAGAAAAGCTGGAAAATTAATTGCTTTGTGACAGTGGTGAAAATTAAGTGTACACCCAGAGGTCCGGGGACCTCATTTATGTGATGGGTTTGTTGTTCTTCCAGTGGCGGTTGTTAGCTAAAAGTGCTCCCTTTAGAGAGAGCACTTTTGGTTTTTGTTGTTGCTTTATTTTTTACTTTATTTTTATCAGTCTGTGTCTCTAATGCATAACGATGGCATTCATCGTGGGGAACTGGCACACGCGCAAGAGACCCCTCCATCCTCTTCACTTCCGCTTCCCCATGCCAGCCTTCCATCTCTCCGCACCCCACACTCCTGCCTAGCTCCACAAAGTCAACGCCTTATTTCCTATCATCTATCTTTTCTTTTTTATATTATATATATTTATTATCTTTTTCTTCTCTTTATTTATATTTGGGGGTTTCTCACATTAGAGAAACCATGTGATATTTACATCTTGCTATGCAGTTCAGGCTGGCCTTGAGCTCACTTTGTAGCCCAGGCTGGTCTCAAACTTGCAACGACCCTCCCACCTCAGCCTCCCCAGTGCTGGGATTACAGGTGTGAGCCACCACGCCCGGCTGCATACAGTTTCTTACAAACGACTCAGTTTACCCTGCTTTATGCCTAAGTAGTATTCCCTAGTGAACACATACCACATTTTCTATCCATTCATCCATTGGTAGGGCTGTAGATCACTTCTGAAATTTAGTTATGCCAAGTTGTGCTGCTACACACGCAGTTATGCATGTGTCACTGTAATATAATGTCTTTAATCCTCTGGGGAAAGGGTAATTGAGTGAAATGAAATTTGTATTTTTAGTTTTTGAGGAATCTCCATGCTGATATTTTATAGCAGTTGTACTAATTTACATTCCTATCAATAATGTAGAAGATTCTACAACTTTATCAGCTTTTTTCTTTTTTTTTTCTTTTCCTAAATTCTTAATGAGAGCCATTCTTCCTGGAGTAGGATGGAATCTGAGTGCTGTTTTAATTTGCATTTCTTGACTATTCCAATAAAATTATTGTATTTATTGACCATTTGTACTTCTCTAGAGAAGTATCTGCTCATTTTAATCACACATTTTTTATTGTCTTTTATTTTGTAGTCTCTAATATTTAGAGAGTTTTTATGTGTGCTGGATATTAATCCTCTGTCTGAGGAGAAGCTGACCAAAAAAAACACCCTGTTTTTGGATTCTTCGGGTTGTCTCTGCAGTTTGTTGTTTATTTCCTTGGTTGTTGCCTTGACTGTGCAGAGTATTATTCATTTGATATGCTCCCATTTGTTGATTTTAGTGTGTTCCTTGAGCAATTGGGGTTCTATTCCAAAAGTTCTCATTTTATGCCTATGTCTTCAGACATTTTACCTAATTTATCTTACAGCAGGTTCGATATTTCTGTTTTAATATCTAGACTAGATCTTTGACCACTTTTATTTAATTGTAGTACAAGGTGAAAGACATGTGCCCCAGACAGGCTATGATTTGCTGCCGGGTTTTTCTTTGCCACCTTTAGACTTTGCTGTGGTTTCAGTGAACCACATCACAAGTTTCCATCACAAAAGTCCCATATTCAAATTATGAGGATTGCAAAAAATGTACAGAAAAATCATTTATTCATTTCTTTCTCATGCTATCAACATATTTCTCTGTTTCTGTCCAGATATTACAAACCCTCACCAAAACTTTTCATGAAAGTGCAGGTTCCTAGAAGATTCTGGGAGCTATTTATTATAAATCATTTTCCTAAAATAGGTCCTTCTCACTTGTGAGTACTTAGATAAAAGTCATCTTCAGTGAAATAAGAACTGTTACATAATGTCCTATTGGACATTAAAATTCTACAAGCTGTTCTAGAATATTTAAACTATCATTCTAATCTAAATCTAAAAGCAATACAAATAATGACTAAACAGAAAAAAGTGCTGAAGAAAAGAAAATGTACATTAAAATTATTTTTTATAAGTCAAACACTCCCATCTTCTCCTTTTCATAAAAATAATAGCATGGGGAAAAAACCAATTTAACATTTAGCAACAGATTAGAAAATCACAGGTAAGATTCTGGTTACCACATGTAGCTTAATAGTTAAGTTGGCTTTAAAACTAAATTCTGTAATTACTGTAAAACTATCTTGGACTCTACTGTTCAAGTGGAAAATATTAAATAGGGTGCAAATATAAACAACAGATTCTTGTGGCATGTATCAGAAAAATGTTTAAGGCAATGCAGACACCTTCTGGTTTTGTGCACACAAAGTTGACATACCCTGGGACTTGCCAACCTGGCAGAAGATTCAGACCCTTCCTCTTCCTACTGAGACAGCCAGAGCTGCCACAGTGAGCATGGTCAGCTGGATGCTTGTTATGTCACAGTTCTGGAAGCTAGAAATCACAGAGCAACCTGTCCGCAGGTTTCCTTCTGAAGGGAATCTCACCAGGGCTTTTCCCAGCTCCTGGTGACCTGTCCCATATCTTCTGCATTTCTGAGCATTTATGGCTTCGCTTCCTTCTTCTTCCCTGGAGGTTCTCCCTGTGTGCAGATCTGCCCAAATCTCTCCCTCTCTCTCTCTCCCTTTTTAAGGACACTGGTCCTATTACATTAGGAACCCATTCTACTTTGATATGTCCTCATGCTCATTCCACTAATTACATTTGTAAAGACTTTTTCCAAATAAGGTCGCATTCTAAAGTATTGTAAATTGAGACACCAAAGGATCAGTTCTGAGTGAACAGGTCCTTAACCCCATCAAAACTTCTAAGGGGGCAGAGAAGTGGAAACCTGATATTTAATTTCAAATGACAGCGTTTCAACGACTTCAGCTGAAATTTCAAGTCATGTTTGCATGTTTAAGCCAAAATAATGAAATTTACTAACTGATCTGAAACATGGAATTCAATATTGATCTATGTGTTTGAATGGAAAGTTAAATGGATAGTTAAAAGCATTGTTTATTTGTGGGTAAAGAAATACATTTTTCAGCCGGGATTTAGCTCAGTGGTATATGTGCCTGCCTTTCAAGCAAGAGGTTATGAGTTCGATCCCCAGTACCAAAAAAAAAAAAAAAAAAAAAAAAAAGAGAGAGAGAGAGAGAAATATATATTTCTCTCTGTTGAACATTATTCTCATTTTCTTTTTCTCTTTGTAAAACTAGGTAGTATTTACCTAATAGAGTTTCTGATCCCAGAAGTAATTAGGATGTGTTTAAATACAAATTTTGATACTTAATTATTTTATTAAACTGATAAAGGCATAGATGCATTATTTTAGCCTATGTTACCAAGTTAAATTATCATCAGGAAGCAGTACACAATAAAATTTTAAAATAAGATTATAAACTAAATAGCTTTGATCTATCTACATCTTTAAATAGACCATTAATGAATGAAAGTAACATATAGAATTTATGGCAATATTTTTATAATAGCAAAACATGGAGGAAAGTTTTAGATTAATACTGTACTCTTAATAAATTAAAGCTTACTCACCTTATCCAATATTATATAG